GGGTCTGGTTTAAGTTTTTAAGAATGAATTTTCTAGCTGCCTATTTTCCCCAGTAACAATCTTTAAATCCCAACAGAAAACATTTTCTTTTCATTTGTTTTTCCAACTTCAGACTAACTTTAATTTACTGCCATTTTTCCTCCCCCCACATGGAGGTAGTTTGTAATCAGTTCCCTTATTTTGTTGTCTGTCTGTTTGTTAGTAGTCAAGTGTCCACACTTTTGAAGATATAATTTTCCAATTTTGCATGGTTTATTACCCACAATCTTTGGGGTGAATCATGTTCAAACTTCACAGCAATATAGGCCTTGGGGGACCTGAGGACCTAACTATGCTAAACATTTTACCATGACCTCTTCAGCAGCTGGAAACTTATATCAGGCAAGAATGGGACCAAATTCCAACATCAAACCTCTAGGATCTCATAATCTTGATGTGCAGAAACAGTTTTGGAAAGAAGAGGAAATGCTACATCGCAGAAAACATTTCCCCGTCCCAACTATTTTTTTCCCTGTAGCAAGCATCAAATTTGAAATGAGCTCACTTTGTGCATAAAATTGCAAAATTTCACTGTTTAAACATTTGTCGTGTTATATACTTTCCTTTTTCAATAAGATGCTGGCTCATGTGATTTGAAAATCTTTTATTTTTCATTTTGTTCAAATTTAAAGAATGTCCCGGTTTTTGTGGAATTTGTGTTGAATGCTGCACTTTGGTCAATGCCAGTCGTGTTTAACACCTCAAGACCAGCTCCCGATCATCAATCGCTCGTGAGGGTCTCACCACAGCCGCTCACACTGCTCGCGCGCAAACACGTAAACGTCAGTGAAAAAGACGGAGCAGCACGGCTGTGCAGCGTGTGATCTGGACACAAGCGATGGAGGCACAACTTGTAGAACTTTGGAAAGCTCATCCGAGCCTTTTCGATGTGGCATCACAAAATTATCACGACCACAACAACCGTGAAAATAGTTGGATTTACATTGCTGCTCAATCACAGCTGCCTGATCAATGTTTTTCATTAGCAGTTGTCATGATTCGAGTTTTGAGGAGAAGACAAACGACTGCATGGTCTCAGTAGATGTCAGAATAGTGATCTTTATTAAGACAGAAGCATGGGAAGACAAGCGTACAGCCACAGATCTCCAAAGAGTGGACCGTTCCCCATCCTTATATTACCCCTGATGACATCACACAGTTAGACCTTACTGGAAATGATAACAGTCTCCCCATAGTCCAAAGTTCTCCTTATACAAACATCAGATGATACTTTAGAGAAAAACAAGTGTGTGACATGTCATGTTGTGCAGTTCTGTGAGCCTGTGTGTCTAACTAGAGAACGTCCTGACATGACCTCCCTGTGTAAATAAGGGTGAACGTGCGTGTTTACATAACTCTCTATGTGCATGTTCTGATGTAGGCCTGGGCCCTGTTTCAGGAAGCCGGTTTAGAAAACTCAGAGTGAAAAACGATACGCAGGGTTGAGTAACCCCGAACTGTCCAACTCAGAATATTCGGTTTCAGAAAGGCTGATAACAATTAGTTCAGTCAACGCGGAGTTGCTTTAACCCCAAGTGAAGCGCGCGGACGAGGATACATAAAGCCCTGATAAGCGGAGCACAGATTAAGCGAGTCACCATGGAGACGGAGGGAAAGAAGGCGCGGTCAATGTATTTTACAGCGCTTGAGGCCGAAATTCTGATGGCAGCATATGCCGATAACATGCAAATTCCGCGGAAAAAAGTAAAGTTAGCCACAGCTGCAAAAGAAAGGGAGCATGCATGGCAAAACATAGCCGACAGAGTCAATGCGTGAGTGTTAATATAAACATTGATCTAGGGATTTCCACCCATTTAACACGTTATTTTATCATATGTTATTTTATTTGTTATTTTATACATTTTATTTTGTGACGTGATGTGAGCGCAGGTGCAACCCAACAGGACCCAAACGTTCCTGGCAGCAAGTAAAAATGAAATATAAAAATATAGTCCAAACAGGTAAGGTGTAATTGTATTATGAGCCATAGTGCTTGGTCTGTTTGTCCCATGTAAATCAATTGCAGTTAGAGGCTACATTAATTTCCTTTCTGTAAGCACTTATTGAAATTATCTGAGCACATTACAAGTACATATTTGCTTACTCTGTATGCTCAAATGTGACCCGTTATAGCCAACAGAAAAAAAGCGGAGGCCCGAAAAACAGGTGGGGGTCCTCCACCACCACCACTCACAGAGGCTGAGCAGTTGGCCCTCAGCCAAAACAGTGGGCGCCCTGTGGCTGAAGGCATCTCTGCGGGGACATCCTCTGAGTCAATAACCCCGCAAGACACAAGTGCCTACATAGGGGGTAAATTCAAAATAATACATGATGTGCATACATCCTTTCTTCACAGTCACCTTCGCAGTGCTACTCATTCATTTGATAAACTCTTCACCATAATGGATTATTTTGTAGTGAAGTTATTTTCCTACTGATTTTGCCTTCCCTCAGTCTTGGTTGTCTTTGAGAGCATAATGACAATGAAGTGTAAGGTGATTGGTATGTTTGTTAATTGCCATTTGGTCCCTTGTAAGTTATAAGTGACCTGTATAAACCTCATATTCTATCAGTTGATGGTGGTGGTGTACTGCATCTGGTGCAGCCTCCTGTTGAGCCAGACCAACATGCAGTTGTGAGTAATACTCCACAGATTATATGAGGTTACAGTAGAACAGCAATGTTGTTTATTTCTTTACTACAGGAAAATAATGAAGAAACATTGACAGCTGTTACAGAGGAGGAAGCAACAGAGACACTTTATGAGGTTTACATCTTTTAATACTTTGTGTACAGGAAACACAGGCGACCAATAAAGCCAGTTGAACAAAAAATCTGTTTATTCTTCTTTCAACATGTTGAGGTGATGGGTCAAAAGAAATGATTGTGACATATGGTGTCTCTGACTGCACTTCCATCTTGTATGTCCGTGGGAGGGTCAGGATGTTCATGGTTTGGATCACTGCTGATGTTTGGTTCAGAAGGACAGTGTTCTCCTCTAATTGTGGCAATGTTGTGAAGAATCACACATGCCACAATAATGTCACATGCCCTTTCTGGGGTGACCCTGAGTCTTTGCAGGCACTGGAACCGGGCCTTAAGCATTCCGATAGTCATTTCAATTCTGGCTCTTGTCCTGCAATTAGCCAGATTATATCGCTGCTGTGGGCCCGGTTCAGGGTCAGAGTAAGGGGTAAGCAAATAGGGTAAACATGGATACCCCCTATCACCAAGCAAGTAGCCAGTGAACTCTCCTAAGACAGAAGGATACACTTCAGTTCAAATGTCCCTGAAGCAATTGGTCTTTATATATTTTAAAGTATTTTCAACTCACCATGTCCAAATTTTGTGCTCAGTGTACATTCACGGAATATTTGTGAGTCATGGACAGAGCCTGGCCACTTGGCTTCCACATTTGTGATAATGTTGGCAGCATCACATATGATCTTCACAGTGCAGAGAACACAAATTAGCATCCATTACTATAATGAAATAATTTGTTAGTTTGAAATGCTACAGGGAACTATGTACCTGCACATTAATGCTGTGGAAAGACTTCCTGTTCACATAGTCTCCTTCATTTACTGAAGGAGCAATGATTGGAATGTGAGTGCCATCTGTACAGCCAATCACGCCTGGGAACCCTGAAAATAAATGTAATATTTAAGTAGTAGTTCAAGTATCACCACATCATAAATTAAGTTTTGGTCATCCTGATACCTGCAATTTTGTGGCATCCCTCTTTGATGAATCTTGTGGGTCTATGACCGGGGAACACCACAAACGTGTACAGGAGACGTTTCAGTGCAACTGTAACATTCCTGACTGCCCGACAGACGGTAGCCTTGGAAACGTGCTCAGCTTCACCAATATTATACAGAAAGCTCCCGTTTGCAAAAAACCGAAGTGCAATACAAATAATATGTACAGAACTGAGAGCATGTCCGCGATGTGTCACATGCGTAATATATGGCCTGAGGATGTTATCCAAATAAATTATAGATTGTGCTGAGAAACGGTAACGTTCGCACAGACAATCATCAGGAAATGATAAAATGTCCAAACGCGCTCTGATCACTCTCTCCCGGCGGAGAGCTCTGCGGAGAATTTGGGCTTCAACATCTACTGGCTCTTCAAGGAAGGGACACGCCATGTCTGACACTTCCTACTGTCAGGTTTCCGACAAAGGGGCGGAGACAGTCAGGGTTAGTTGTAGTAAACCTGCTAGGGGGCAGGTTAGCTTCACGGCGTGTGTCGTCATAGTGACTCACTCAGGCTTCAGCTGAACTCGCTTTGTGAAACCGAAAACCCAGAGTTTTCGTTAACTCAGGGTATACTTACTCAGTTTTTCCACTAAACCGGCTTCCTGAAACAGGGCCCTGCAAATGAATTAGAACAAGGTGATGGTGGTGGTGTGTGTGTGTGAGTGAAAGACAGAGAGGGAGAGCGAGCGACAGATTTTCTGTTATAACCTTAATTTTATGGACGCACAGGGTGAGCTCTCAGGTCGCATCAGAGCATCGGGCCGTATAGTGTGAGACCCTGCACCGTGACCTACCAACTTCTAACCCCCGTGAGTCAATCGTGCAGTTTGAGCAGGAGCTGAATAACGTGACTGAAAAAAATCGCACAGTGTTTGCCCAGCTTTAGGTGTACTGTCGTCCGAGACTTGCACCGCAGTGTCGGCGTTTGTTCCCCTGTTGGCCATGCTTGTTGTTGTGGTCATCTGTTGTCTTACGGTATTTTCTCTGTAAGCGACCTTTCCTCGACCAATGAGATAATCTGAATTGTCATACTCGAATTGTCATAAGTGTGCTGTCAGCTCATTGGTCACAAAGCAGGAGAGGGGCTGGGAATTATGTTTTCAAACAAAGCGTTAATTCCATAAACATTTATAGACTACTTTTGATTCTCACTGTATTACGGGACAAAGTGCGTCCCTTATTAGCTCAATACGGGACGTGTACTTTTGTTTCTAAATACGGGACGATTCCGTTTTTTAAGGGACGGTTGGCAACCCTACATATCGGTCACATATTTGTCAGTAGTTTGTACTGTGAGCAGCAGTGTAACCCTGAGCTGAGCATCAAAGACAGGCGGTGCAGGCTTAGTCAAATATGATGGGCGAATTTTTAATTAAGTTTTCTCCATTGTTTTCCTTGGTCTGACTGTGGAGTTTGTTTTGAAATTCATGACAGGAAGTACTTCTATTTAGCTAAACGGAAGCTAAACGGAAAAACAGAGTAGCCCCCACTTCTTGCGTGATTCTGGCTTCACAGCAGGAGCTCAAACAACTTTGCAAGATTTGAGTAGCGCAGAAATTTGGGAGAAGCGTCCCACAGAGCGACAGTACAGCCTGCGCTCCGGATCACCGTCTGTCATTCAGCAGGTGAGTAACACTTCCGTCTGTCTGCAGGAGCAAGTGTGCTGAATACTCGAACTCTGTTCATTTATCTGCAGGTTAGAAGTAAAACTCAAAGGCAAAAGTTATTTGCTACTAAAACTCCTCTGTTAGAGGATGGAGACCAGTAACAACAACACCAACAACAATAAATAACAATAATACATTTATAGCAGTTTGGATAAAGCCACACATTAAAGATAAATGTTCCCGCATGCAGACACACAGTCCTGAACACTGACTGAGAAAAGGACGGTGCTCTGACAACAACAACCTGACGTGATGCGTGATGTAGTGTGATGTTGCGTGCTCGCCGTGTGGAAACTACAGTATGGAGAAGATGGGTGACAACATGCGCATGGAATAGAATAGAATAGAATAGACCTTTGTTGTCATTGAACACGTGCCAGCGAAATTGTAGAAATGCTTCACCAACGTGTTCTTACCCTGTTGATCTTTGCAGGTTACTTGGATAAGAAAAAACAATATTGATCATTTTTAGAATAAAGATTTCGATATTTCTAAGGCGTGGCAGATGTTTTTAAAACGATTGCATAATTGGCACTTAAGCTGTGAGCGCAGTGCCAAAACTCTCTGTCCTAAATCACTCGGTGCGCAGGGTGAGGAAGTGAGGTGTGAAGAGCGCACACAGCAAGCCACGTCTGGCTGAAGAATCTGTAACGAATACAAGTGAAATGTCCTATGAATGAATCCGTGTTAGTGCGTTAGATTAATCTCCATGTGATAATGTGCGACATAGTAACTGGAACTCTCTCATCTGATGGCAAATGATGTTAGGTCTGCTTTCACACACATTTAGCCTATAAAATCAAATGCATGTTATTTTAAGATAAGATACCTTTATTAATCCCACGGGTGGGAATTTTTGTTAATATTTAAATATTATATGTAAATGTCCTAATTACTTATTTAACTGCTTTGATCTAGTGGAATGTCTTCCTTCCTCCTTGTTTAGGATTTCTGTGACTGCAGTAAAATTCCCTCCATCCATCACTTACCCCACGAGACCTGAGGTAAAAATTAATTTATGATAATCACACAATTCTCACTAATTGAACTGAATGCCAATATGCATTTATAATGAACATTTAGATGATCTGCACAACTTTGTTTATTATGTTGTTGTTTTCATGAATGACCGGAGGGTCTGTCCCAGTGAATCATAAGACAGCATTTTCTCCTCTCTATTAAGAAAATATGGCCCAGTGTATGCTGTTCCAACAGAGCTGATATAGGAAGCACCAAAGCTCCTTTCCTCAGTATTTGGGGAATTGGAGCATCTCTTATTATGGCGACTACACTACCTCTGGTCATCACTCTAATTTAGGAACATTTCTAATCAAAGTGGATCATTGGGACTCGTGGCGTTACTGTCACGGCTGGCGCGGTGAGCCGTGTGGTGTAGGAGGAAAAGGACCCAAAATGCAGGCAGTTGACTGGTGATGAGAGTGATGTTTTATTTACAGAAGTGGAGCAACTTGAACAGGCAGTGAGAAAAGACGAATGACTGGAAAAAACCTAGACTGGGGGAAACTTAATGACAAACCTAAGCGGGGAGCGGAGACTGCAGAGCGCCGTCTTTACACCAACAAACACAGACGATCCGACGATGAACAGAAGCCAACACACACTATAAATACACACTAGGTAATGAGGAGATGACACGCAGGGGTGGACACAGCTGACACTAATGGACATGATGAGAGGCAGACCTACAAAGTAAAACCAGAAACACACAGACTGTTTTACAACAAAACGCAGGGACCTGAACGGAGCACAGAGGGGAGACACAGGTAGGGATAATAAACACGACAACCAACCCAAAGAATTAATACCACACACAAGATGAACCCAAAAAGAAACACAAAACGCTGGGTCAACGACCCAGGATCATGACAGTTACACTCCTTCCTGCATATACACTTCCACATCCACATTACATGTGAATTATAATCAAAATAACAGGTGGAAGATTAAAAACAAATGAACCTCTCTGCTCCTCTCTCTCCCTCTCTGCTCCTCTCTCTCCCTCTCTGCTCCTCTCTCTCCCTCTCTGTTCCTCTCTCTCTCTCTCTCTCTCTCTCTCTCTCTGTTCCTCCCTCTCTGCTCCTCTCTCTCCCTCTCTGCTCCTCTCTCTCTCTCTGTTCCTCCCTCTCTGCTCCTCTCTCTCCCTCTCTGTTCCTCTCTCTCCCTCTCTGCTCCTCTCTCTCTCTCTCTGTTCCTCTCTCTCCCTCTCTGTTCCTCTCTCTCCCTCTCTGTTCCTCTCTCTCTCTTTGTGCTGACAATCATCAAATATACAGTTGAAACCAGATATTTACTCTTCAGATAAAAACACTTTTTTAATTGTAACATCAAATCAGACTAAATGTTTATTTTTTTTTAGATTGATAAATATAAAAACATATTCGTTAACTTTCTATCTGTATTTCTTAATTGCAAATGTATTCAAACTGAGCCACACTTATGGAGCTCCACAGTTCTGTTCCTGGTGTTTTGGTTGACATCTCTTGATTTTCCCATTTCAAAGAAACAGGCTCTGTGTTTTGCCTTATATGCATCCACAGCTGTGCCACCAATTTACTCACATGGACTCTACTAACCTATCAGAAGCTTCTGCAGCTCAGAATGGAATCGTCTGGAGTTTCTTATTATTTAACAATAAACTTAGTGTATATGTACTCCTACATTTGATCAAAGTGATAAAAAATGGACAGCTCTGTCTCTTTATTCTGACATTTAACTAATTCAAAAGATATTTCAATATTTATCTAAAACAAAAAGTTTACTCTAAATTGATGTTGTACAGTAAAAATGTTTTAGGTTTTCTTCCTAAAGTGTATGTAAATATCTGGTTACAAATGTGAATATCCTGCTGTGTACTGAAGTTCCTCTTGTTTTGCATAGAAATATACCAAACAACACACAAAGCATAATATATAAAATACTACCTGAGTTTTTTCTTTGAAAGAAGCTCCTTATGTCCATTCTTGTATATCAGTGCATTACTGAAACCGATTTAGCCGTGGAGGGTAACGACTGAAAATATGAAATAAACACACATGTAAGCTAAGACTCTCTAAAGAAACAGCATTGTTGTTGTTCGGCTTTTCATTTCGCCATTTGTTGATTCAGTTGAAGAGCGAGTAACGTAACATGGGTCAAGTGATCAGTTTGATATCAATCTTTCGTGATGCACCGCAGAGGTGTGGACTCGAGTCACATGACTTGGACTCGAGTCAGACTCGAGTCATTAATTTTATGACTTTAGACTTGACTTGAAAAAATGTTCTAAGACTTGTGACTTGACTTGGACTTTTACACCAATGACTTGGGACTTGAATTGGACTTGAACCGGTTTACTTGAAAAGACTTGATATTTCACCCCAAATATAAAATTTAACATGCATATTATATAGAGATTGAAAATGTGACGTCATTCACGGGTAGAACCGCAAAGGATTCTGGGAACTCGTGGCAAGCGGTAGTAGCGCACGCAGGCTTTCAATTAAAATCAGTCACACAGCGATAAAAAGAAACACAAAAATGTCAAGAAGCTGTTGTATTATTAACTGCAATAGCCGGTCGAATGACAGCCACGGGAAGCCGACGGGTAAAGAGATCAGTTGTTATCGGATTACGTCGTGGAAGAGAAATTGTTCGAGCCATGTTTCCGAAGTAACAAAGAGGCGACTGGATTGCAGCCATTCAAAGATCAAATATAACGTCCTAGAACACTCCAGCTCACAGGTTAGTCTGCTCCAAGCATTTCCACAAAGGTCAGTCTGCTGTTGTAGTTAATGCGTCATTTTCATAACATAATTAGTGATATAGGTTACAAGCAAGTCTGGCGCTGAACAGAAATTGTCGCGCTATGCTCCTTTATTTATTGTGCATAAATAGTAAATTATCCTGACACAATATTGCGTTTCGCTTCTGTTATTATGGTACATTGACAAAAACACATACTTTTATTCACAGGATAAAACAGTTTTTTTGTATCACTAATTGCCCAGTACGATTACAGCATACAATATTATTGTCACTGCTACATTTCTGTGATGGGTACCAGAAATTATTTCTACTACTAATTAATTACCGTTGAACTCAAAGGTTATATTAATAAACGGTTAACGATTGTGTATTTATGACGACGATTTGTGAGACTGGTAAACTTATGATACGTACAATGGTCATTCATTCTACACAGTGCATTTCAAGGTCCTGCACCCATCCGTCGGTAAACTGTGCCTGGGCTTGTTGCAGTGACCTGAAGTTACTAAACTTCATGAGTGTATGCACTCACTCCAAGAACCGTATAATTATAAATATGCATATAAATATGCTACGATGAGATAGCTGACTTCATCTAACTAGCAAATGTTTTCCAGGCTACGTTGGTGATACAGTTTTTTTTAATGTGTATGATATTTTTGTCATGCGATTTTAAAGCTGGTCCTACAACCGCATCCAAGAATAACATGCAGCGTATCTCAGAACTGTCGGTGAAAATTATTCTTGGAGCTAAGTTTAATTGAGCTGCATTTTAAAGAGGTGCAATTTCACAATTTGTGTATATTTTCTAAGTTCACTATTTTGTATGTGTTGAGAAAAACACAGATTTTAAAATTACATGGTCTAATATTTACATTTAGCATATAACTGCAACATTATTTTTTCGTTTGTTTTTTTTTAAAGACTCGAAAGGACTTGAAATTCAAAGTTTCAGACTTGTGACTTGACTCGGACTTTTACACCAGTGACTTGAGACTCGACTCTGACTTGCCTGACATTACTTGAGACTTGACTTGAGACTTGAGGATAAAGACTTGAGACTTACTTGAGACTTGCAAAACAATGACTTGGTCCCACCTCTGATGCACCGTCATATTTACATTATTTGTACGGTACTAATGATTTGCTTTGGTACCTGTGTTCCAGATCTACTGGCGTTTAGATCTACTGGCGTTGGTCGAACAGATGTGTGGCAGTCTTGCGTTTCAGGAGCTGCTACCGACAAACCAGCAAAAAAACGGCAAATGTGTCATCTGTGACACTTGTGAGGTTATCTCAAACACACTCCGTCAGTCTTGATGCTGTTGAACAACAAAATGTATAAAAATGTGGCGAGTTTACCTGGTGATATCCTCATGCGCAACGCGATCACGAAAACAGCAAACAAGTAATACCACGCCGATGTTGTTCACAGGACAGCAAGAGTAAACGATCGGGAGACTGTTGTCGTCGTTATCGTTCCCCTCGCACGGTTTGTTTCTCCGAATTCAGCGTTTTTGCTTCACAACTAAAGCGTGCAGTTTACTTTGTGCACTAACATGGAGTCAAGTCAACCAGCGCCACCTCTGGCCAAGTGCCACAGCCTACAGCCAGATCAACTTGTGACACACATCTGCACCACGTTTGAATTCGTTTCATGCACATTTGTACCTTTCAACCGTGTCTGTTTGTGCGTCATGCAAATAAACCTTTGAAATGAATGAAATGACACTAATATTTCATATATTCCTTATTGGCCTACATTTGTACAAAATTCCAAATTATATACACAAAGTCATAGAAATCACCACTCCAATTGGTCATCATGATTTTGATATTCTCTTTTTCCATAACAATGAAATATGCCTTGGACAAATATGACACATCAATATTTCATTAGTGTTGTCACATCACATCCTGTAAGCATCGTTTGTCTGTGTCCTTTCTCTGGAAATGATATTTCCAGCCAATATAGGCAATCCATCAACATGGCTGGAGAGTTGGTAGTTATATACAGTCTGTATAAGTGTGGTTAATCCAATGAAGATTTGTAAGGAGACGGCAGTTACTTTGAATTCACAGCAGTTACACAGTGATTAGTAATAAACAGAGCCAGTGAGAGTGAGTGGATTTAAGAAAGTCAGTGACTCAGGTGTGTCGCTTGGTTTGTCATCTGTTTGTGAGACTGGAGGAGACGTAGAAATCTTTTGTTTTAAATTTTAGTTAGGAAGGTTCCTGTTTGAAAACAAGCACTTTTTGTGAGAAATGCAAGAAGTACATCTGCAGAAAGCACACAGTTACATTCTGTCCATCATGTGGACAAAATAGAAAATGTTGAGCATTGAAAAACTGAGAACATTGGGCAAGTTCAAAATACGTGTTTGTAAGAACGAAAAACCAAATTGTTCCTAAAATAGTTATGGAAAGTCACTGTTGTATGTCTGTGTTCTACATGTTTATCTAATGGAAAATAAAGTTGCTATTGTTTTATTGCAGTTTATTGCAGTTTCTTGACAATTCTGAGTGAATTTACACAGTACGGGTCAAAATGACCCACAACAAAATCAATGTCACTTTTTTGTTTTTCAACTTAATACAAGGGCTAATTTCCAAAACTTCCATATGATCTTCAATTTGTAGCAGATCCACTATCACACAGCAGCTGGAGCAGTTTCAAATGGAGGTCAGTCCACTACTACCATAGCCCACTACTAGATTAACTTGTGACACATCTGCACCTGCTGCTATGATCACAGTGAGTAGAGGCTGAGTGGCTGCACTTACCCCTGGTGCATTCAAATCTACCCACAAACATGTTGAAAGATGCAATGCCAGCAATGTGGATTGTCAACACTGAAAACAATCATTAAGCAATGACAACAGGGATCATTTGTTTCTGTTTATTTAGCATGCACAACATTTATAGTCGCCTTCTGTACAGGGGAAGTCCACACACACCGTGTGGTACCACTTTCCACAGAAGGTGCATTCAATCTGCAAGATTGAATGAGATTGTCAGTCATTGTCTGACTGTTTATTACTAATCACCTGCTGTACATTCACAGTAACTGCCATCTCCTTACAAATGTTTATTAGATTAACCACACTTATACAAACTGTATATAACAACCAACTCTAACATGTTTGTTCGCAGAGAAAAGACACAGACAGACTACGCTAACGACATGTGATGTTACAACACTAGTGAAATATTAGTGTCATTTCATTCATTTCAAAGGTTTATTTGCATGACGCACAAACAGACACAATTGAAAGGTACAAATGTGCATGACACAAATTCAAACGTGGTGCAGATGTGTGTCACAAGTTGTTCTGGCTGTAGGCTGTGGCACTTGGCCAGAGGTGGCGCTGGTTGACTCGAGTCCATGTTAGTGCACAAAGTAAACTGCTCGCTTTAGTTGTGAAGCAAAAACGCTGAATTCGGAGAAACAAACCGTGCGAGGGGAACGATAACGACGACAACAGTCTCCCGATCATTTACTCTTGCTGTCCTGTGAACAACATCGGCGTGGTATTACTTGTTTGCTGTTTTCGCGATCGCGTCGCGCATGAGGATATCACCAGGTAAACTCGCCACATTTTTATACATTTTGTTGTTCAACAGCATCAAGACTGACGGAGTGTGTTTGAGACAACCTCACAAGTGTCACAGATGACACATTTGCCGTTTTTTTTTTTTTTGCTGGTTTGTCGGTAGCAGCTCCTGAAACGCAAGACTGCCGCACATCTGTTCGACCAACGCCAGTTGATCTAAACGCCAGTAGATCTGGAACACCTGCTCAAACTTCAGCTCTCCTCTGTCTGCCTGGCTGCGTTTCTCCAACAGCGCACTCGCAGGCAGCAGCTGCCCCGCCCCGCTTAGTGTCTGAGCTCGGATCATACCAATATTAGGGGGGATTTACGCACAGTTGTAAATTCCCACAGTGTGCACTATGTGCTTTGAATATTGTGTGTAGTTTTTGTTTTATACAGTTGTCAGCCAGGCATCTAACTATGAAAAAATTACACTCCAAAAGACCCCGGGCTTCTGACAAAACAACCCGGGCTTAAGCCCAGTAAGCCATCCCCCGCTCCACCACTGGTGTTAGGAATGTTCATTTTACTCTTCACAGCCGTCACCACAGTGGCCACAGTCTTGGAGTCTGACTGCTCATTACTGATTTTGTTACCTGTTCAAGATTAGGCTGTGGCTGCTTTAAGTGTGGGGACACAATTTCCACCATGGTTTCTAAGCACTGATCCAGACAGTTCAAGTTTCCCGTGTTTCTAAAATTAAGGGACTAAGCGTGTAAATGTAAAAAAGTAATAAAAATATAATGTAAAGCAGTAAAAGGAGTTAGTAGCTTTTTCTCAGCTTTCTTGCCAGCCCGTTCTCACTCCCGAGGCATAACATGCCGACGTTTTGTCACGTCCCACGGCGTTTCTGAGGAACGTGAAAGGAGACCTTCAGCGTTCTTGTGGTACGCGGAGGGTTATGAAAACCAGTGCAATGACACTCCCGCGGTAGTAGACGTTCCAGCCCTGTATTCCAGCCCTAAACATGACCTTATCCCCGACCTTAACCAGGACTTAAAACGTTAAATAGCGTGTTTTTAAGCGATTTGAAGAAAAAGAGCGAACATGTGTAGGTTCAGTCCAGACGGTTCTCATATTTCCTCATTTTTCCGAGGTCGTCATTTAGGAACGTGGTGGGTAGCCGAAAACGTAATATGTTGACGATGTGTCACCTAGCGTAAAATGTTCCGCTTTGGGAGTGAGAACGTGTTGCTAATGCTGCCTGTAACAGTCTTCATTGTCAACCTTTCACTCGACTGTGTGCTGGAATCATAACCAGTTTGTATTATTCATGATTAAAAGCACTAGAAGAAGACACGAGTACAGTCCTTGGTTAATGACTTCACCACGGTTTGTGAAATGCTTGTGAAAATGTTACTGTAGCGTCAAAGCTATGGTCAACTATGGTCAGTTAAATTATATTCATTGGTAACTGACAGCGACTGACGGAGGCTTCAGAGTCATTGGTGGGAAACTCCAGAATACTACTGGCTGTAATACAGGTACCTGTCAGTGTATCTTTACACTACAATTACATGTGGTTTGATTTTTCTTCCAGTGTTTCTGTTCTGACAGCATGAAGTGCACGTGGCCACTTTCCTCTCTGTTGCTGCTGCTCCTAGAGGTGAACAGTGCTTCTCTGCAGGAGACCAACAGGCCTAATTTTGTCCTGATAATGGTGGATGACCTAGGAATTGGAGACCTCGGCTGTTATGGCAATAACTCACTGAGGTAAGAATATGGCTGAACGATATATCGCATTTGCGATAATATCGCGACAAGATCAAGTGCAATTTTCTAACCGCAAAGGCTGCGATTATACTGCGATTATAAGGCTGTCCAAATTACTACCATATCCCAGAATTCATAGCGCGGCCCAGCCAAACTCCAGTTTCCAGCAATGGCGGCCGCTACTAAGTTTTAAAATTACTCATACTAATCTTTCTGGGTCACAAAATAAACTTTTAACATATTTTCAGGCAAGGAAGTAGTTATGTAAACATCAAATATCTGCTCGGTTTATCAAGATATCCCATATTTGCAAAAGTGCTTCGACGTTTTCAGAGGCGTCTGCTACCCACCAGCTCGACAGCTATAGCCGGGAGCTCGAGGGTTACTGATGCGGCACAAGAACGGCACAACTCCCGGCACATCATTTTCAGATCACCGCGGAGTTTCGCTGCTCGGGTTAAACGTGATATATAAGTCACTTAGACAACCTAAAAATGTTATTGTTGGGCTTTTTTCAGTGTTTTGTTTGTTCGTGAGTAAATCGGTTTGGCTGAGATTAAAGTTATTAGATTAGATAAAATAAAACTTTATTAATCCCCCGGGTGGGTTCCTCCTTGGTTTTCACACAGCTGAGTAAACGTCAAACAGAAAACTTATTAAACAGAAGTATGAGACAGTCGAGAATTTACACCAGTGTCTGGTTATATTTTAGATAGCAAGAAGCAGACGGCCGAGTTTATTAAACTCCACCGAGACAGCGGTGACGCTAATCAGAAGGCTAGACCGTCCAATTTCACGCCTTTAAACTTTAAAGGCGTGTTTGTGTGTGTGTTTATACAATTGCTATTATGTTTGCACTTTATGTGTAATGTTACTGACTGCAGAGATCAGTAAGATGTGTGTATTTTTTATTTATTAGTTTTATTTATTTAATATTATTTTTTAATTGAATGACTGTCTAGTAGTTCACAGATGTCGAAAAACTGAGTGTGGTAAAGCCACTGATTTTTTTTTATGTATATTTCTGCAATCTGCACATTGTACTGACTTTCATTTTAATGTTTACACCAGGGTTCCTTGTCAGCACTTTATGCTCAGATGTTTGTAAGCTAAAAATAAACTATTGTGTATGTTCAAATATACTGTTGTGATTGAAGAAGTTAAATAAAAATGTCAGTCATCAATTCATGCATCACCTCATGTCATCATAACAGAGGTCTGTCTTCCAGGAAAGAACAGTTTAAAATGAATGTAATATAGTATTGGCCATACTATATGATGTATTGCTTGTCTTTGTTTAATAATACAGAAGACAAAGACCTTAAAAAATAATCGCATATCGCATCGCAATCGCAATATTGGGGCAAAAAATCGCAATTAAATTATTTTCCATAATCGTTCAGCCCTAGGTAAGAACATGTTGCTTCTCACTGACGCTGGTGAAGCTTAAGTGTAATTTGGCTACTGGTTCTTAGAGACGTGATTGGCAGAAATGGGGGGAACTTGTAATTCTTCAAGCTGCTACTCCCAGAACTCTTTCATTTGACCTCCTGTTATTGTAGGCAGTTTTGTTCCCATACTGGAGTGAATATCTTTGATTGTGCCTCTGTTGATTGTTCACTGTTCAACTGTTCACAGTTGTCGGGGGGGTAGACTACTGAATCTGTAGATAAACAGGACAGCAGGCTGCAGAGAGGGTAGAAGAGCACAACATGTTCCTGTGATATTTTGGATATACACTACAGCAAGCCCAGTAGAAGAGAGAGGACTCATAAAAGACTGGCAAATACACTCAACAAAAATATAAACGCAACACCTTTGTTACTGCTCCCATTCCCCATGGGATGGACGTAGAGACCTAAAATTCATTCCAGATACACAATATAACCATCCCTCCCAAACAGTGGTCACAAATCAGTCCAAATGTGTGGTAGTGGGCACATCTGCTATATTGAGATAATCCATCCCACCTCACAGGTGTGCCACATCAGGATGCTGATCTGACATCATGAGTAGTGCACAGGTGTACCTCAGACTGCCCACAACAAAAGGCCACCCTGGAATGTGCAGTTTCTTGCGCTATTGGGGGTCTGGGGACCCAGAACCGGTCAGTATCTGGTGTGACCACCATTTGCCTCATGCAGTGCAACACATCGTCGCATGGAGTCTATCAGATTGTCAATTGTGGCCTGTGGAATGTTGGTCCACTCCACTTCAATGGCTGTGCGAGGTTGTTGGATATTCGTGGGAACTGGTACACGCTGTTGTATACGCCGGTCAAGCACATCCCGAACATGCTCAATGGGTGACATGTCCGGTGAGTATGCTGGCCATGCAAGAACTGGAACATTCTCAGCTGCCATCTGCCCTGAACAATGTGAACCATGATTCATCTGTGAAGCGCACACCTCTCCAACGTGCCAGACGCCATCGAATGTGAGCATTTGCCCACACAAGTCTGTTACGGCGAAGAGCTGGAGTCAGGACGACGGGCATGCAGTTGAGCGTCCCTGAGACGGTTTCTGACAGTTTGTGCAGAAATTGTTTGGTTGTGCAAACCAATTGTTCCAGCAGCTATCTGGGTGGCTGGTCTCAGACGATCTTGGAGGTGAACCTGCTGGATGTGGAGGTCCTGGGCTGGTGTGGTTACACGAGGTCTGCGGTTGTGAGGCCGGTTGGATGTGCTGCCATATTCTCTGAAACGCCTGTGGAGACGGCTTATGGTTGAGAAATGAACATTCAATGCACGGGCGACAGATCTGGTTGACATTCCTGCAGTCAGCATGCCAATTGCACGCTCCCTCATTGCTTGTGGCATCTGTGGCATTTTGCTGTGAGACAAAACTGCACATTCCAGGGTGGCCTTTTGTTGTGGGCAGTCTGAGGTACACCTGTGCACTACTCATGATGTCAGATCAGCATCCTGATGTGGCACACCTGTGAGGTGGGATGGATTATCTCAATATAGCAGATGTGCCCACTACCACACATTTGGACTGATTTGTGACCACTGTTTGGGAGGGATGGTTATATTGTGTATCTGGAATGAATTCTAGGTCTCTACGTCCATCCCATGGGGAATGGGAGCAGTAACAAAGGTGTTGCGTTTATATTTTTGTTGAGTGTATAACCAGAAACTAACTAATTCAAAGAATATTCAAAAACACTGGACCCACAGACCCAGGACCATGACAGGAGATAGCCTCTCCCAGAAACTGTGCCAGTGGAAATATTATCATTTGGGATTACTTCACTGTATTGGATACTGTGCAAACAACATAAATTCAGCATTTATTGCTTTATTTAATGCTACATTTAGCATTTATTATACTAAAGTGACGCTACCCAAGAATATCCGCTAATATGAAGCCTATGTGAGCTAAGTACAAAAATCAAGGGAACTTTTTTAAAAGATATTTTTAGATCAATCTCAAACTACCTCTGACTCAATGTACTGCTCTAAAATTCTCCTTTGACTTAATTGGGGCCAACTAATTGAGAATAAAGATTTCTTTGTCTGTTCATTTGTTTCTTGTCCTGTTTCCTGTTGTGGCCTCTGTGTGAAGAGCCTTTCGTCGAGCTTGGTTTTACTCAAGGTCTCTTCCTGTCGAGTTCTGCCCATTGGGGAGTTTTGGCTTGTAGGGGCAATATTATTATAGATGACTGCTGTCGAGCAGTTATTATTGCATCCAAGTGCAATAATAAAAATACATACATACCATTTTATATTTGTTGAATGAGATTTTATTCCTGTGCTCTTGTTTCCATGCAGTAAGTTTTATTTGTCGAGGTTCTCTTTCTGATATTTCTTTCTCTATCTCGCTACAGTAAAGGTGAGTGGAATTTTAATAGAGCTTTAATTCTGCAAAGACGTCGGTGCTTTCAAATATTTACGTTCATCTCCAGTGTTTTTGAGTAGATTCAGAATGATCACAGCGGCGTGTCCCGGTTAGTTTTGTTTACTGATTTTTATCTAAGTCATAGTTTTTCTTTGATAAGACCTTTTTTATGAAACAGGGACACTGATTTTGTAAAATAACAGTAAAGTGGTGATTTGTGATTGATTGGAAAATTTGGGCATTAAGAACTGAGTAAGAGATTCTTGGGCAACAGCTGGAGATAAGTTGCTTTAACTTTATTTCAGGCATTGACAAGTCTGACATATTCTGCTTTGATGAGAAACCTGTTCTGTAATTGCTGATGATGTGATTTGCAGGACCCCCAATATTGACCAGCTGGCAAAGGAAGGGGTGAAGCTGACCCACCACATTGCTGCAGCCAGCCTCTGCACTCCCAGCAGGGCAGCGTTTCTCACCGGACGATACCCAGTGCGATCAGGCCAGTTAAAAGCTGCACACAGAAACAAGCTTCCCTGACAGGAGCAGTGCTCAATGTTGGCCTGGTGGAGAAGTTTCCAGAATACAGGAGCGTTAAACACAGCCACCTTTAACAGAGGCCATTCATTTAGTGAATTATTTAAGATCGCTTTGAGCCCAATTACAATAAAACTGTCTATAAAACTCTTTATGCACATTGTTGTGAATTGAGTCATTTTTTTTATGCATGCTAAAGTCACACGTTTGTTTTTGTTTTTCTTTCTTTCCAGGTATCGCTGGTTATAGCAGACCAGGTGTCTTTTTATTTAATGCAGCATCTGGAGGTCTCCCCAGCCAGGAGATTACGTTTGCCAAGGTTGTCAAACAACAAGGCTACGAGACTGCTCTCATAGGTATGATGCATGAATCTTATGTGTCTTATTAGCAAAAACAACAAAAAGCTTGTCATTTCAGACCCTTACACATCTGTTAGGAATGAATATGAATATGTGGAAACGCTGAAAAAGCATTATGTCACCAAGAAACATGTTTAGAAGCTGACATTATAAGTGCTTCTATTTTGGTGTGATTTGTCTGATGTAGAGTCTAAGCTGGTGACTCTGTGAACTTACCAGTGCAGTTGTTTTAGACACAGCGTGAAAGAAATGAGCAACGTATACCATGGATAGCCATTTCATTGGCAGACTCCCAGTGTCATTGGGAGTCTAACCATTGGTACACTGGTCACACTGCAGTGCAGTCCTGGTTACCTTCGACTTAGTGATTTGGAAGAAGGTTTCTAACATCTGCAGTTTAGATTGTGTTGCTGATATGACTTAATGATAACAATTATGTTGCTGTATTTGTAGACAGGTCTTAGTACAGAGACTTGATTTTTCCATCCTTCCCTGTGAATCAGATTTTTGTGTATTATTAGTTTAAATTCTGTTTGTGTGTATAGAGCTTGAGATCGTGACAGTGTAACCGGTTTCTGCTTCATCCCGCTGCAACAGTTCGGCCCAAACAGACTCCTCAACTCTGCGTTGTGTAGTGTTTTTAAAAAGACAAGGAGTCTCTGATCGATCGTTGCCACTTTATTTCCTGAATGGAAACAACGGTGTATTATCAGTGCACAGGCTCGCCATACACCACTCCGCACAGCACACTACGGCAGAACATCTCATTAGCATTCCGCTTTAGCATACAGTTTCACACATTAATAAACAAATGAAAAGTACATAAAACTGATGTTAGACATGTGTCCACTAAGCACTTATTACACTCGGTGCTCGTCAGCTAATCAAACATGTTTTATGTGTCTGTACTACTTAGCTATATTGTGTGCGGAACAATACAACTCACCTCTCGTATGGCTACGGCAGACTGGCAGCGATTACTGCAGCCAGCCTCACTTAACCAGCCACACCGAGAGGGGGGGGCGCTGTTTCCCCATTACACTGACATTTGTGGCAAGTGGAATAATACCACATAAACACTGTTACATTCCCCCTTGCTGAATTCCACTTGCACACTCAAATAAACAAACACCACAAACAAAAAAACACCCTTAAAAAAAAATCAGGTACACCACAGTCACCATAACACAAACAGAGGACAAAAACCCAATAATCCTCAAAAAAAAAGAACAAGATAAAAAAAATAAATCCAATAGCTAATCCACAGCTATCAGCATGTGATAAATCTGTTCAGTAATACCAGGTCGTACAGTCACAAAGAAAATTCAGTCAGAGGACTATCCCCAAAGGAAGTAGAAGAAGAAGTTGGCCAAACCCCTTCCAAAAAAGAACAAAATATGCCAGTTACATATTTCATCACATCATAACTGTACGCCACTCCGACACAGAAAAATCAACGACAAATAATCAGTTTCAATTCTAAAGATCAAAGTCCCACTTCAACAACAATAGAATCAACTCACAGTTATCAACAATATTTAAACTTTAACAGGTCTCTGTTAAAGTTTCAATCAACCTGGAAACAGGCTTAAGTAACCGTCCCACTCTCGATCTAGCACGGGTCCCCACCATCCTGCTAACATCAATCGGGTCTGCGTTGGGTGGAACAACTGTGGTTGAGACATGACCCTCAATCGTAGCTTCATTGTCCTGGTCACTGTCAGTAATGGCTGCCAACTCCGAAACAGAGGAGGCTACAACTGGGGCCACAGACATAAGCAGGTCAGAATGTTGACCACCAGAGGTGGCATCTATCTGCTCCTCAGTGTCAACAGGGGGAACACTGGTACAGGCAAGCTCTCGATCCACCATGCTGCCTTCTGGTTGAGTAACCCCTGTCATCAGCGAGTCGCTGGACACTGCAGACGGTAAGTCAGACACCCAAGCTCTTGTCCTGTATTCAGCCGTGCCCACTGATGAGTTGCAGACAGGTTCTCCGTCGCATCCAACCATCAGCAAGCCAGACTCAGAAAGCTCATCTCCATCATCCTGAACTGAAACACCACTGAGAGGGAGGAAGTTCACTGGCATTATCAGGTTGCGATGCATAACTTTCACTTGCCCTGTGGAATCATCCATCAGCTTAAAGGTGTGACTCTCATCATTTTTGTCAAACTGTATAGACAACACTCTCCCAGCGATCAGCAAGTTTTCTTTTGCCACGTCCCTTTTTGTTGGCCAAAAGGACGCGATCACCTATCGCTACTGGGGCTCCCCGCACTTTCCGGTTGTAGAGGTCCGTGTGACGCTTCAAATTTTTGCGAGCCACCTCCTGCGCCAAATCCATGGCCTCTTTGAGGTCCCTCCTCAATGTCTGGACATATCGATCATAGTTCATGATGTCTTGGTGCTCAATAACAGAGCCAAAGATCACATCAATCGGCAGTCTTGGCACTCTGCCAAACATCAGCAGAAATGGCGCATAGCCAGTTGTCTCATGGACTGTGCAGTTATAGGCAAATGTGAGAGCTTTCAGTGCCTCAGGCCACCTTTTCTTGGCTCTTGGGGGTAATGCACGAATCATGTTGCCCAAGATACGGTTCATCCTCTCGCAGGAGCTGTTTCCCATCGGATGGTATGGGGTCGTGTGAGACTTCTGGACACCTGCCACATTCAATAGCTCGGCAATGAGCACACTCTCAAAATTAGCTCCTTGATCCGAGTGAAGGCGTTTCGGAAAGCCGTAGATGCAGAAGTAGTTATGCCAGAGTTGGTGTGCCACCGCCTTAGCAGACTGATTGGGGCATAGAAAGGCCTGAGCCATCTTAGTAAAGTGGTCTGTGACCACAAGCACATCCACTGATTTGTTCGCCGAATCCTCCGCAGACCAAAAATCTATGCAGACCATTTCAAGAGGCTCTGATGTTCTGATATTCTCCAAAGGTGCTCTCGCCTCTGGCTCAGGCGACTTGCTAACAACACACCTTCTGCAGCACCGTACATACTCTGACACATGCTTGGCCATACCAGGCCAGTAGAATCTATGCCTGGCCAGATAAAGTGTTCTTTGTTGTCCCTGGTGACCGGCTTCATCATGGACGCCTTTCAGTACAGCAAGCCGCAAGGTTGGCGGAACAACATACAGATAAGTCTTTGTCTTTGAGACGGGATTCTTGGAGACTCGATACAGCACACCATCCCTCACAGTTAACTTGTCCCAAGCCCTTAGAAATCTCTTCGTATCAACCGGTTCACTTGCCCGCTCCCTCCTCGAGGGTCTCCGTCCCCTTTCCACATAGGAGATCACTCTGCACAGCACATCATCACGCCGCTGGTGTCCCACTAGGTCATCACGCGAGAAGGGTTCAGAATCAGACTGGTTTGGCGTAAGCACAGTCTGAGAGCATTGGGGCAGAAGGAGAGCATGTGGCCACACCCTGGACTCATGTTCACTATGGGCCTGGAAGACAGCTCCCACCTCAGAAGATGTCAGCATTCCTGTCTGTGCAACAGCCGTGCACTGCGAAACAACAGGCTGGTCATTGCTTGAGGCCTTATCAGCTGAGTGAACAGTCCATCTGAAGGCCTCCTGAACCCCACCAGTGGCGACTGCCTCTGCTTCTGCCAGAAGTTCCTTATATGGAACTCTTATCAAACGGTGTGAGGCCCTGGGGTGCACGAAGGGCTCCCTGCTCAGCGCGTCAGCAACCACATTTTTAGGACCAGGAATGTACTTTATGTCAAACTGGAAAGGCGCTAGCTTTGCGATCCACCTCTGCTCACATGCATCCAGTCTTGGCTTAGAAAGTATGTAAGTGAGAGGGTTATTATCCGTCCATACGGTAAACTGATGACCCCTCAACCAGTGATGGAACTTGTCGCACACCGCCCACTTCAATGCAAAGAACTCCAGCCTATGCGCTGGGTACTTGGACTGTGCATGATTGAGTGTCTTACTGGCAAAGGCGATCAGTCTTGATGTAGAAGCCCCAGAAGGAACTTGCGACAACACGGCACCAAGGCCACTGCTGGAGGCATCAACAGAGAGCAAAAAGGGCTCCTCAAAATTAGGATGGGCCAGGAGCACTCGATCCAACAAGGCCTGCTTCAGCTCATTGAAAGCTGCCCTGCATTCATCCGTCCAGTCCTCCTCACACAGCTTTGTACGCACCAGCCAGTGCTTTCGCCGTGAACCACGAGGGCCTTTATCCCCAGATGTCAGCCAAAACAGAGGTTTTGCGATGGATGAGCAGTTCTCAATAAATTGTTGGTAGAACATTACCATCCCCAAAAATGAGCGGACCGTCTGTTGGGATGGGACACTCGAACCCTCTTCCATAAGGTCTGCCTCTGCAAGGGATGTAATGGATGCTATTTTGTCAGGGTCTGACTGTATCCCATCAGCATTTACAATGTGCCCCAGGAATTTCACAGACTGTCTCAGAAAATGGCACTTCTTTGGAGCCAACTTAAGGTTGTGAACCTGGAGTCTCTGGAACACCATATGCAAGCGCTCCAGTGCTAATTCTTCTGTCGGGGCAAAAACCAGAACATCGTCAAGATAACACAGCACACTGAGGAAGTTCTGATCCCCAAAAATGCCTAGCATCATCCTCATGAAGGTGGCCAGACTGTTGCACAGTCCTTGTGGCATACGATTATATTCGTACAACCCAAGAGACGTAAATGCCGTGTACTTACGGTCCTCCTCATGCACCTCCACATTATACTAACCCGAAGTAAAGTCCATTGTGGAGAACAATCCGTTCCCTCCCAAAGCAGCCAGTGCGTCAGCCGGATGCGGGAGTGGGTGAGCATCTTTGACAGTTCTAGCATTAAGCCAGCGAAAGTCGTTACAGATTCTCAACTCACCGGACTTCTTCCAAACTAACACCAGGGGTGATGCAAACTCACTGCAAGACTTCCGAATTATTTCCCGTTCCTCCATGTCATTCAAAGCCTGTCTGAGTTTTTCATAATGAGTCGGCGGCACACGT